TGTGTGTGTGTATGTGTGTGTGAGAGAGAGTGTGTGGTCTAGTATTGTAGTAATAAACGTCTGGTTTCTGTGCTGTTTAATCTAAACATGTTTAATGAGCATCGTGTCACAGCAGTAAAGCCGCTGTTTTGGTCTGATTCGTAACTCTCCGTCTCTGTTTCTCCGTCAGGGTTCGTTACTGGGACTTGATGCTGCTCGTCCCAAACGTGGCTTTCCTGGTCTTCCTGATGTGGAAGCTACCTTCTGCTCGCGCTAAGATCCGTCTGACCTCCAGCCCCATATTCGTGGCGTTTTACATACTGGTAAGCAGCAGAGCGTCCCGTGTGAGCTGAAGGTTTGCATGCAGTGGAGTTAGTGTTTTCTGCTCAGGTTTGCTCTGACGGACTCTTTCTCTCGTGCCACTCAGGTGTTTGTGGTGGCGGCTGTAGGAATCACACGTGCCATCGTCTCCATGACCGTCAGCACATCCAGCGCCGCCACACTCATAGACAAGGTGAGAACACACACATGAGGACTTCACGCTGACTTCTGTCAGACTTGAATTAATTATGGTAATATCTACCAAATCTGCATCTGAAAGCACAACTTTTTGTGTTTTAAACATTTTATGACACCACCAAAAGCTTCTGTAGTCATTGTTCAACATTTAGCTTTCTCCTGCTCTGAAAATAAATGAATGTTTAAAAACATTTAAAACATGCAAAACATGACTCATTCCCATTTTGATATTGTGATTTTTCCTTATATTCCATTCGACTTAGTATCAAGTTATTTATTGTATTTGACATACTACGGTTCAAAAGTTTCCAGTCAGAAAATGTTTATACCGTGAGAACTTTTGTGCATTAAACTGATCAAAAGTAAAGACATTTCTAATGTCACAAAAGATTTCTCTTTCAAATAAATGCTGTTCTTTTGATTTTTCTATTCATCACATAATCCTGAAATATAAAATGTGTCAAGGTTTCCACAAAAATATGAAGCAGTGAACTGTTTTCAACATTGCTAATAATCAGAAATGTTTCTTAAGCAGCAAATCAGCATATTATCATGATTTCTGAAGATCATGTGACACTGAAGACTGGAGGAATGATGCTGAAAATCACAGAAATAAATGATAATTTACAATATATTCAAGTAGAAAACTATTAAACTAAGCTAAACTAAGCTATTTTAAATTCTAATAATATTTCATAATTTTCCTGGTTTTACTGTTTTGATCAAATAAAGGCAGCTTTGCTGAGCAGAAGAGACCTCTATCAAAAACATTAACAAATCTGACCAACGTCAAAGTTTTAAACGGCAGTCTTTTTATTGAAACAGGATAGTCAGTGACAAGTTGAGGTGGAGCAACTTCTTATATTATGTTGATGGATTGTTAAACAAACATTTATTTAATTACAATAATGTGACTGATGAATCATTCATAATCAGAGCAGGAAGATGAATTCAGAAAGCAAGCGTAGTCTGTTCTGACGTCAGATGTGTTAGGCTTGCTGACGCTGTGATGAACGCAGTGCTGTGATTATGTTGTGAATTCATCAGTGATTTCTGTGTGTTTACAGGTGCTTTGGGAAATCACGAGGTTCTTTTTATTGGCTATTGAGCTCAGCGTCGTCATACTGGGACTGGCTTTTGGTACGTTCCTGCATTGTGTTCGTTTCGGATCTCAAATGTGATTCAGTTTCTTATAAAATCACATTTTTCAAATGGGTGAAAATGTCATGTTAGCATTATTGATATCTATCACAGTATTAACTCTTTTATTTTATTTTTGGCTTTTATTTTTATATTTTTGTTGTCATTTTAATGTTAAGTTTCACTAATTAAATTAAGTAAAATAAGTTTTCTATTTAGATTTATTTCAGTTTTAGTCATTTTAGCACTTAAACTTATTAATTTGAGCGAGTTGCCAAGCCAGCATTCAACATTTTTAATGATCATTTTTAGGTTTTCACGTTGTTGTTGTTTTTTTGGGTCTAATATTTTATATTTTAATTTTATTCCAGCTGTATTTCAATTATTGAAAATTATTTTTTATGTTTTTTTTAAGTAATGCTATTGTTTAGGAATAGTGATAATTGGTCCCTAAAATATTATTATTATTATTATTTTGCAGTTTTAGTTAACAAAAGCAACACTAGTGACAGTGACTTCCATGTCTTCTAAAGGTACCTGTTGCGTTGTAACTTGCTGTGCAGTGTGAGCCCGTGAAAACAAAGGGTCTTTTAGTGTGTAGCTCTTCCTGTTAAAGTGTGGTGTTTGCTGATTGTGTTTGCTCAGGCCATCTGGAGAGCAAGTCCAGCATCAAGCGTGTGTTGGCCATCACTGCGGTCCTGTCTCTGGCCTACTCCATCACACAGGTGTGTTACGCAACAGCCATTCATTACATATATGTGTCCCTGGAGCACAAAAGCAGTGTTGAGTCGCTGGGGTATATTTGCAGCAATAGCCAAAAATACATTGTATCGGTCAAAATTATAATTTTTTTTTTAATGCCAAAAATCATTAGGATATTAAGTAAAGATCATGTTCCATGAAGATATTTTGTAAATTTCTTACCGTAAATATATCAAAACTTAATGTTTGATTAGTAATATGCATTGCTAAGAACTTCATTTGAACAACTTTAAAGATGATTTTCTCAATATTGAGATTTTTTTGCACCCTCAGATTCCAGATTTTCAAATATTGTCCGATCCTAACAAACCATACATCAGTGGAAAGCTTATTTATTCAGCTTTCAGATGGTGTATAAATCTCAATTTCACAAAATTGACCCTTATGACTGGTTTTGTGCTCCAGGGTCACATTTATATACATTTATTACAGCTGAATATATGTCCTTGAAAAGCATCTGTTGAGTTGGATGTTAATAATCTGATTAATTCAAACGGATAAATAATGAGTTTTAAGTGCCGATGTGTGTAAAGACACACTTAGCTGTGATACATTCACTTCTAGTGAGTTTAATGCAGCATCTCTTGCTCTCTCAGGGGACTCTGGAGATTCGTTTCCCGGACAAACATCTCTCCGCCAAAGACTTCAACATCTACGGCCACGGCGGGCGCCACTTCTGGTTGGCCAGTTCCTGTTTCTTTTTCCTGGTATCTAATCAATTACTTCTCCTTTCTTATGAAACCATAATGCGTTTATATATATTGAATTATTAATGTTTTATTCTGCGATATAATGTGTTTTAGGTGTATTCCCTGATAGTCATCCTACCTAAAACTCCGGTCAGAGAGCGGATCTCGTTGCCATGTGAGTAAACGCAGTGTTCATCATGCAGGAAGCATTCAGATGATGATGATGAGAATGTGTTTCTGGTTCTCGTGCCGCAGCGAAGAGGAGTTTTTACGTGTACGCTGCCATCCTGTCCCTGCTCAATCTGGTTCAGGGTTTGGGAAGCGCGCTGCTCTGTGCCGACATCATCGAAGGCCTGTGGTGAGGATTCGTCTCTGTCTGTCAAACATACCCTGCTGGAAAGAAAATATGCTAAAATGTATTCGAAATACATTTATTTTATGCTGAGTAGTGCTGTCAAATGATTAATCGCATCCAAATAAAAGTTTTTGTTTACATCATATATGAGTGTGTACTGTGTATATTTATTATATATATATATAAATACAAACACATGCATGTATTTATTTAAGAAAAATATGTTATGTTTATATATTAAATGTATTTATATATATAATATAAAATATTAATCTATACATGTAAATATTTTCAAAATATATACTCTGTGTGTGTATTTATATATACATAATAAATACACACAGTACACAAACATATTATGTACACAAAAACTTTTATTTTAGATGCGATTAATCGTTTGACAGCACTACTCGCCACAAAATAAATATATTTCGAATACATTTTAGTTTTTTTTTTTTCAATTTTTAATATATTTTTCTATATAGATATAGATCTATATAGATGTTTCTATATACAACTTTTATTTTAGATGCGATTAATCGTTTGACAGCACTACTCGGCACAAAATAAATATATTTCGAATACATTTTAGTTTTTTTTTTTTTCCAATTTTTAATATATTTTTCTATATAGATATAGATCTATATAGATTTTTCTATATACAACTTTTATTTTAGATGCGATTAATCATTTGACAGCACTACTCGGCACAAAATAAATGTATTTCGAATACATTTTAGTATTTGTTTTTTAATATATATATTTTTCTATATATTAATCGTGATTAATCACGACAGCACTAGTGCTAAGTATACTACAGATATATTTGTGTATTTAAGTTCTTTAAAAAAATACCCTGCAATTATACTAAACTGGTATACTTGAAGTCTGCTAAATTTGGAACTGATTTTGTGCGTAATGCAGTTTAATTGTGCAGAAATAGTGCCGAAGTCCAACTAAAGATATACTGAAGTATATTTGATTCTGCTAAAGTGGAACTATTGCAACGATACTTGAGGTACACTTTAAATATCTTGCATTTAAAGACACAGAGATCATACACTCCTTATTAATAGTGATATTAAAACACATTTTAGGCATAATATTAAGAAAAGTGCATTGTGCATTAAAGAAATACTCCAAATAAAGTTTAATTATAATTTTATATCAGTAAGTTTGAATTGATATGTCAATAGATATATTAATAGATTTGACGTATACTTAGTATGGAAACATGTATTTTAAATAAATTATGGCATAGGTTTTTTTTTATATATACTGTTGGAGCAGTGCAGTTAGCCACTTAACAGAAATGCAAGTGTTAGATACTGCAATTTCTAATAGTTTTCAAATATATTTTGTAAACTAATTTGATTTTAAAAAGTCTGTCTAAATTGAATCTGCTATCTTTATATCTGTTATAGCAAATATTTGGCAATACGTCCTGCTCTTTAGACTAAAAGGTGCATGTAGATAAAGCCCCAAAATATTGGATTCTCTAATTCATCTAATTTAATTGTTTTTAATACATTACTATATATATATAAATATAATATGCATTGTCTTATTTGCATAAAAAGTGAGGGAAAAGTTTGTGAAATGAATTTGAGAATGCTACAATAATATAAACCTTAAATATTTCTCATTCATTTTATATCATCATATTTATTTGTTTGACCTTTTTCAAAATGCTACAAATGAATTCTCTCTAAATTTAAATGGATGCCAGATTACCAGAATTTCTGTGTATCTGTTCCTCTCCGTGTGTTTGCAGCTGTGTGGATGTGACCACATTCCTGTACTTCTCCGTCTTTGCTCCTCTGATCTATGTGACGTTCCTCAAAGGATTCTTCGGGTAAGTAGATCCACCTGTGATTCAGTCACAGGGTATTACAGACGTCTCAGTCGATGCAGCCTCTAGACAGAGACATATTATCATGCTTTAGTTGTGCATGAGGAACTGTGTTCACAGAGCAGATGAATAGGCTGCTGTGGGTTTCAACTTCTGCAAAATGCCATATTCTGCACTTTTGTAGGATTTATTTTTAATTTGGGCTCCAAAAGCAGTCGTGCGTGACCTCGTGGGGATGTTTCGAGTTGTGAGTGTTTCTATACGCCATGTTGAACTCTTTATTTCAAAAGAGCAAGAGAAATGCTGTTGTCCGTGATACAACTGCACTAAACACCACCTTAAAGACATTACTGCTCTTAGCAAATGTGGCCAACCGTCATATTATTCTACAAGCTTTTACTCGTTCTGTTGGACGTCTGTGGAAGTCCTTTCTGTTTGGATAGTTTTAAACAGAATTTTACAGAAACGATCCAAAAATGTGGCAAAGTCGGAGCACTTCGTGAGAGGATAAGCGTGGTTATTTCCCTGTTCCAGACTTTTATAAATAAAAATAAAATCCTTTTTTATTGAAGTGTTTTTAAAAACATGGTTACAGATATTGCGACATTTGTACAAAGTGACATATCAAATTGATACACTTTTGCTGGATGCCACTGATACTATCTGGTTTTTGTTTATCAATAATTCATAGTTAACATGCATAACATCTCCTCAGTAAAAAAGATCACCATTATGTGCTACCATTCAAAACGTCTGCGGCCGTTAAGAGTTTTTAATGTTTTTGAAAAAAACCAAGGCTGCATTTATGTGATCAAAAACGGTAATGTTGTGAAATATTGTTACAATTTTTATGACTGCTTTAGATGTGAATATATTGTAAAAAATTTATTCCTGCGATGCAAAGCGGAATGTTTTAGCATCATTACTCCAGTCTTCAGTGTCTATAAAAACCCATTTCCACCACATAAGAAAAACAACATGCTTTGGTAAATGATAATTATGACATAAAAAGTTGCAATTATGAGATAAGTCATAATTATAAGTTAAAAAGCAGCAATTTTGACATAAACGCCAGTATTGAGGTGAAAAGTCATAATTATGACAGAAGTGAAAATTCTGAAGAAGTCACAATTGTTTTGGTCATAATTATGACTTGAGTGTAGACTTGTAAGTGTAGACTTTTTATGCCATGAGTTTGGCTTATCTCATAATTGTCCTTATTTATCTTATATCTCATTATATTGGAATTGCAATTAGGGAAACCTATTTCTGCCGGATGCGGGAGTCTGGACCATCATCACCATCATCATCATCATCATCATCATCATCACCCAAACCTGAACCAGGTACGACCGCTTCTGCTCCTCTCTTCAACAGCGCTTGTTTATATACCTCATATTTAACTGTGTTATTTTGATATTTCAGGGCCCTCCAGATCAGTGTCGTGCGTGCGTGTGTGTCGTGCGTGCGTGTGTGTGTGTCGTGCGTGCGTGTCGTGCGTGTGTGTGTGTCTGTCTGTCTGTCTCTGTGTCGTGTGTGTGTGTGTGTCTGTCTGTCTGTCTGTGTCTGTCTGTGTGTGTGTGTGTCTGTCTCTCTGTCTGGGTGTGTCCTCACTTATTTAGTGAAAGATCATGTCAACCCACTAGTGAGGACATTTGACTGGTCCTCACTAGTTAAAAAGGCTTATAAATCAGGCAAAAGATGTTTTGATGTAGATCTAGTGTTCTGCAGATGTTTCTGTGATGGGTATGTTTAGGGATAGGGGTCAGGTTAGGGGATAGAAAATATCATTAACCTGATAGAAAATCAATGGAAGCCTATGCAATGTCCTCACTAAGATAGTAACACAAACGTGTGTGTGTGTGTGTGTGTTGACTGTAGGTTCGAGCGTGAGCAGGCTCTGGTCCAGGAAGAGTTGGCCCGGATCAGCCGTAGAGAGAGAGAGATGGCAGGAGACGATATGAACCCAGCGGCGCTGCGAGAAACAGCAAAGACACGGCAGGAACCAGACAAAACACACAACCTGGTGAGACACACACACACTTCTCTTCTGCTTTCATTGTCCTGACACTGTCTGTCCTTCTCTGACATACGCTGTGCATTTTAACATGCCTCACTTTGACAGCATGATTCCTCATTTTACAAAAGAATATTTTAATAATGAAGAACTCTCAAGCAATAACTCGCACAGATTTTTGTTTGTTTTCTCAAATATTTTTCATGATGATGAGGCATCTATCTTTCTGATCAGTCGACTTCGCAGTCCTCTGAACTCACATTTGCATGCTTCAGTGTTTAATTCAAATATATCTTTAAAAATCAAAAACTTGTTTAATTAAAGTGACGTTTAAGTCACACAGACACATAATTCAGATGTTTGTGATACGCATAATGCACCTGTTTCAAAAGCAGCAGTATTAATGAGTGTTTTGCAGCACTAGATGGCAGCAGGAGTGTTTGATTTAATGTTGCTGTTTGAGGTGATGCTCCTCATTTAATCACAGAGTGTAATTTATAATAACCAGCGTCATTGTTAATTATAATTACCCTGTTTTGCGTGTAAAGCTTTTAGTGCTCATGATTGCAATCTTTTATTTTGCACTCTCTCTCTCTCTCAGTTCATTTTCCTTCAGCTGATGTGTTTCTGATTACGATCAACATGTATATTCCGGCTCATTTAGACACACAGATGTGTGTTAATACCCAGTTCATGAATTACTATAAACACTAAACGAGTGTAAAAGAACAGCAAACCACTGTAAGAAGCGTGAGATTCCCTACAGAAACAGAGACATTGATTTGGGGAAGAAATGTTAAATTAAAATAGGCAGAAATTCAATTCAGTGCCACTTTCTTTCTTTCTTTCTTTGATATAATTATAAATACAGCATCTGCTCTGACTGAGATTCATGGGCTGTAATGTTTCCTCATCATTTACGTTGTTTCTCTGCTCTCTCTCGTTTCTCAGCCGGATGAGTTGAGTGTTCGGGGAAGCAGTCGTTTGCTGTGAATCTCAGTTTTATTGTAGGTTTTATGTGTCATTGCTTCTTAGTGCTGTGTGTGAATAAGACAACAAACACAGTCAGTCTCTTCATCAGAGCCAGTTTAAAGTCAACATGAAACATGTTCACAACCCATGTTACTAGAGTATGACAATATTTAACAAGAAAATGTCATTGAGACTTGATTTTATATGTGATGGACGGATTGGATGGTGAAAAGTGTCTCTATATTGACTGATTAAAACTAACTGATTACAATAAGAGGGATATTATTTTAGTATTTTATACAATTATAGTTTTACTAATATTTTGAATTGGTTTTAATCATTTTGTTCAAGTTTAAATAATTTTGTTATATGCTTAAATTGTTTTATATATTTCTTCATGGCTTTAATTTTAGTTTTAGAAATGTTAGTATTTCAACTTAAACTTATTGCAACATTTCAACATTTCTTTTATTTCATTTACCAAGAACATTTTTAATAGTTTGTTAACAGTAACAACATTGTCAAATGTGAAAGTTGTTCCAGAAGTGGAGCCATTTATTACATTTTGATGAAGATGATAAAAAATCTAACATTTTTCATGTTAACTTTAAAGCTGCTAGCCATATAATCACACATCATGTGAATGAATTAAATCTTCATTTATCATTGTGTGTGTGTGTGTGTGTGTGAGAGAGAGAGAGAGAGTGTGTGTGTGTGTGTGTGAGAGAGAGAGAGAGAGAGTGTGTGTGTGTGTGTGTGAGAGAGAGAGAGAGAGAGTGTGTGTGTGTGTGTGTGAGAGAGAGAGAGAGAGAGTGTGTGTGTGTGTGTGTGAGAGAGAGAGAGAGAGAGTGTGTGTGTGTGTGTGTGAGAGAGAGAGAGAGAGAGTGTGTGTGTGTGTGTGTGAGAGAGAGAGAGAGAGTGTGTGTGTGTGTGTGTGAGTGTGTGTGTGAGAGAGTGTGTGAGTGTGAGAGTGTGAGTGAGAGTGAGAGTGAGAGTGTGTGTGTGTGTGTGTGCATGTTTATGTGGTTTATGAGGACACAAGGACACAAAATAACATGGGAGAGAGAGAGAGAGAGAGTGTGTGTGTGAGTGTGAGAGTGTGTGTGTGTGTGTGTTATTGCTACTGTAAGTATTCCAAATGTTTGTAGTCATATTTATTTCTCCAATCATATTTGTGTTATTGATGTGACAAAACACACACAAACACTGGTTGAATGTGTATCATCTGATACATGCATCTGAAGTGTGTCTTTTCATTCTGTCCCATCATACTTTGTTTTCTGCGTTATTGTGCTTCATGTTAAGTCTGTCATCATCACAGAAAGCTCATTTCTCGATGGCTAATCTCAGCATTATTCAGTGAGTCTGTGATGATGTGACGGTGTTTCTGTCCTCTTGCATCTGTTGTGGATGGCTGCTTAAACTGCCAGTTTCCATCATATACCAGGTACATCTGATCTTCATCGTGTGCTGCTCCTCTACATCTTCCATGTTTGAAAGCCATCAAGAGTTTTGTTGAATTGCAAATGAACACGTGACGTTGAGCAGGTTATTCTGTGTCTCTATCAGGCCCGACAGCTGAAGAAGAAAGAAGATGAACTTAAACATCTGGCACAGTTTTACAAGGAGCAACTACAACTGATGGAGAAGAAGGTGTGTGATGCACAAACACGAACACACTTCCTCACAAACCACTTTTAGATCTGAAGCCTGAATTTGGCCCATTTATTAACCTTTTTTCATTGCTAGAAATAAAACATGTCAGTTTTAACAGGTTTTATTATATTTGCGCTTTTATTATAGTGCTTCAGGCTAAAGATGGTTTGTTTTCTCTGATGTGTTCACAGTCATATTAAATATAGTTGGTGTGTCTGCATTTATAAATACATCTGTTTGCATAAATGCGATAACATTGAGGTCATGATGATTATGCGGCTTCATCTGAACCGTGGCGCTCTCTCGTGTCACGTATCAACATCTTTATGCTTCTTCTGATGAGCGACACGCCACTTAAATGTGTGTGTGTGACCGATACGGAGAGATGGACTGTGGGTGGAATCCAAATGTGTGATTTTATGCTTTTGAAAGCTGTTTTAGATCATTTATTAACCGCCTGAGGATTGAAAGCGAGAGAGAGTTTCAGCTTGTGTTTATTTGATGTGCAGCAGAACACAAACCGTTTCATCACTGCAACAGAAAAAGAAATAAATGAGAACTGAAATAAAACATGGATTATAAAAACATAGAAACTAAGAATATATTTACTTCGCAGCAAAAAAAAATGTGAAAATATGATCTTATAAGCCACTGCAAATAGTAGGCCCGTTGCTATAAAAAACTCATGAACAAATGAATTGATTAAAAGCATCAGATGGCCTGAAGCGTCTGTCCACTCGCTGGGAAAGAATTTGAGTAGTGTTTGAAGAGATTGTATGTTCAAAGGTTGCCGTCAAGCTTATGCGAGAATAAATCAGACTCAGCCGCTCGTGTTATCAGATGAAGCTCTGACGGACCGATCAGACTGATATCTGCTCCAATCTAAAAGGACTTAAGTAGACACAGGTTTACTTTCCTTCATTCTTCTTCATTATTGTTCATACAGTCAGAATACACAAATCTACATCACATTAAATGTGTCCTTTGCTTATTTTCTGGTATTTTCCTCTAATATGGCATGTAACAAACAAAGTAAAAGACCCTGTAAAAAAATTTTTTTTTCAAAGTTGTAAATATAAAAGATTATCAGTACGTTTTACAAGAAAATATTTTCTGTTTCAAGATTTCATGTTTAGTTTAATGTGTTCCTTGCTGTTTCTGTGTAGCTAATTATGAAATTTAATAGCAATTTCTGAGTTTTGTTGTTTCTACACCAATTGTTCCTATAAGTACAATTCACTGCAGTTTCCTGCTGAAATCAAGCCTAGAGGCAGTAAAACACCAATGACTTTTATTCCTTTGTAGCAGGAATCATGACTACAGAGGCAGATTTTGCATCAGTAAAGACTTATTTTTGCGTGGTTGCATGCACAACTCTATGTTATAACCTCAAAACACTTTTACCATGATGCATGATTTGTAAACTAATATATTTTGATGTTTGCATCACATAACCAGCGCCATATGTATTGCTTTTCTGATGCAGTAAGCTTGCTCGGTTGCGCACCTGGTACAGCATTGTGTTTGCAATGCATTGTGATCGGGTACGAGATCCTGTGAAACACGAGTCAAATTAAAAGAGCTCAAAGTCTTGTAGAAGCATGATTGAATGGCATGATTGCTTTAGCTTTCATTTGCTCTTAACACTGTTGGTCAGCTTTAGTGTAGGCGATACATTATTTTCAAATGCAATAGAGCATTAACCTTTTAGCGCACCGGACATTTCATTTCCAATTGCTGCAATGTGTCTTGCAAGCATCTTGCAATTGTGAGTTCAAGTCTCACAGGTCAAGACTTTTTTCTTGCAATTCAGAATTGCGAGATATAAACTTTGCAAAGAGTTAAAAAGGTAAGATAAAAAGTTGCATTTACCTTTTTTATTTGTGAAATGTAAACTAAAAAGTCACTTAAAAAACGTAAAAAGTCACTCAGGTGGAAATATATGAAAGGCCATTTCTGACCCTGAATAAAAAATGAAACAAGGTAATTGCGACTTTTTATCTCATTCTGAATTTTTTCTTAGAATTGCATGATAGTAATTCCCATTTGCAAGTTACAACGTCAGAATTGCGAGACATAAACTTGCAATCGTAAGGAAATGAATTCCTCTGAATTGGACTTTATAACTCGCAATTGTGAGTATATATCTCACAATTCAGAGAAAAGAAGTCAAAATTGTGAGATATCAACTCAATTGTGAGAAAAAAGTCTGTCATAATTAAAGTCATAATTACCTTGTTTTATTTTTATTCAGTGGCAGAAAAAGGCTTCCATGCATTTCACTTTAAAAGTTTTTAAAACAATGTAAATATCATTTTTCAGTGGTTGATTGACAGGCGAGTTGGAGGCCTATTTGAGCCCAGCTGGTGTATGACCGGCCTTCAACGCTGAAATAATGTCAGGTGTTGTTTCATTGCTGAAAGAATGTTAATGAAACAATGCTAAATGGTTGTAAAAAGTTTTAACAAAACACCTCTAAATCAGTACTGAATCTTTAACAAGCACGGTAAACGATGTTCACAACATGGTTTTTGTTCTGTTCCACCTTTAAATGAATTTGAGAGAGTTTATGCATGTGTTTAAGTGACACGTTCCCACCCGAACACATCTGCTCCAGCTGTGCTGTCAGTGTACTTCATCAAAGAGACACAAACAATACAGATGTGAGCGTCCTTCACTTTTACTGAGGTAATGCCTCACACAGAAAAACAGATCAGAGCAGAAAGAGCGAGATGAAAACATACAGAGACGCTTCAGTAGGGCTGAGAATCGGGTATTAATGAAGCGAGAAACGAGAGAACGAGCCGAGAATCAAAAGATGGAGCGATTGCGAGAGAAAGCGGCCGAGAAACGTTATCTCTACAACATTATCTGAGCTTATTTGCTGTTTATCCCATTAGACTCTTACTTCTCTGAGAGAGGAATCATGGGATCTCAGTGGCAGCAAACTGTGAAACTTCACGTCTCTTACTAGAGGTGTTTGATAAGACCTTCATTATTACTACTAGTTAGTGATTTGAACAAACTCCTTAAAGAGACAGTTCACCTAACTGTTAATGATCCCTCGCACTCGTCTCTCAGACTGATTTCTGATGCTTTTTTTGTCCCTCTTGTTTCTCTTGCATCAGGTAATTGTAAATTTAATAAGATAACGCAGTCTAATTACTCCAGCTGCGTGATGATACAGACTGTGAGATGGTAATTACACTGATAGATTATAATCACTTACAGCGTATTGTTTTTGTGTCTTGCTGGATTTAACAGCTCAGAGCTGAAGGAACGAGCAGATATTGCACTGATAAAACTCATCGGCCCGTATTTCACACTTCTGCAGCATTGATTAGTTTCCCTGAAGTCCATTTATAATGTCAGTCAAGGTTTCTTGCACCAAAAACAGTCATAATTTAGGTTTTCATGACTATTTTCACCTCTAACTATTAAATCTTTGATACTGTACCTTTAAGACGACTTCTCCCATTTCTGAACTGTGTTAGTTTAGTGTTATTTGTACACTATTAATTCATATTTTGAATTCGCTTTTATTTTTATATTTTTGTTTTTTTTAGTTCTATTTTCATTTTTTTAATATATTTTCAGTTCAGTCCAGTTAATTTTGTTGGGTGTTTTCATCATTTTTATTAGGATTTCTCTAATATTTATATATCGTGTGTTTTTTTTTGTTATTCCCGTACATCTAAATAGCGATTATAAACATGACAGCTAGCTGAAATAAAGTAAAAAAATAAATAAAATAGAATTTATGTTTTATTCCGTTTCAGTTAACATTTATTTTATTTCAAATTATAGCAAAAGTAATTTAGTTTTAGTTAACCATGACATGGTTTCTTCATTTCTGAGCAGTGATAATTTAGTATTATTTAGATACTGTTAATTCATGTTTTTGAATCCGTTTGTATTTTTATATTTTCATTTTAGTTTAAGTTTTAGTAATTTTGTTTTGTGCTTTTGTTATTTTTATTAGTTTTATTTTCTATAATATTTCTACAGAATAATTTTTTTTAATTTCAGTTTTTAGTCATTTTAGTACTTCAACTCAAGATTTTTTTTTTAGCTTTAGTTTTTTGTCAAATATTTATATTTTATTTTCATCTTTATTTCAATTACCCGTCAGTAGTTTCAACAGTTTTAGTTCACTTTGACAGCATTGTTTTTGAATGTTTGGTTTCAATGAAATCGAATGCAGTTTTGTGTTGTGAATGTTAGTTTATATCAGCCGTGTTTATTTAAGGAAAGCGAGCACATCTTGTGGTCCACCATAGTAGTATTTTAGCAGATCAAAGTGTATCTGAGGCAGATGCATTGAGTGAGATGTGATGGTGTCTCGTGAATGGGAAGCTGTGAATGTAATGTTCTGCGCTGCTGTGTTTTGTAATTGTAGTAATTGTCGTGTGAATGCCCATAAAGCTCACCAAATAAAACATTACGACGTCTCACTCGGTGTCCGCGGGCCGAGAGATGTGCTGACAGAGCTAGAAAATAATGACGCTGCTTTAATTTAATTGAATGTCCCTCCATACACATTTCTGAGCGTTTATTGCATTGTGGGATTGGTTTAGAGAAGTTAACAGAAATCACTATTGAACCAAAGCAAGAATACATTGTGATGTCTCCTTTGGATTTGCGTGATAACTGTGGCAGAACATGCTTCTGGTTCTTGGGACTGCAAACATTTGCTCGTTGTAAACGGAGAGTCTGCAGGAAAACAAATACATTATTTCAGAAATATTTGAACTGTCTTGTGTATTTTCTGAACGAATGCAGCTGAACTTGAATGAAGTCCGACTCTTTGTGTCTGTTTGTGCAGAACACTGAATACTATCAACAGACTGCACACGTGTACGAGCAGGAGGCGCTTAAAGCAGAGGCCACTGTTAAGTGAGTACAGATTTCAGTATCCTACTATTATAGTTTTTAAAATAAGCATTATTTTTTATTTTAAATGTAATTCATTATTTTCATATTTTAAGTTTTTGTTAAGTTTTTTTAGTTTTTTGTATTCGTTTTTTAGTAGGTTTATACATTTTATTAGTCTATATCATTTTTTATTTTAGTTTTTGATTTAGTTACTTCAGTACATACATTTAAAAATGACATGAAATGAGAAACTGACTTGGCAACTATAGCTAAAATTAAATGGTTTTTATAAAGTATTTAAAAAGAAAGTTTTTCATATTTATACTATAAAATAGTATTTAAAAGTAAAAATAAGAAAATGTTTAATTTATTATATTATATTTTTGTTAATGTATATTTTATTTGGTTTTATTCGATTTAGTTACTTCAGTACATACATTTAAAAATGACATGAAATGAGAAACTGACTTGGCAACTATAGCTAAAATTAAATGGTTTTTATAAAGTATTTATTAAAAAAAAAAATTCATATTTATACTATAAAATAGTATTTAAAAGTAAAAATAAGAAAATGTTTAATTTATTATATTATATTTTTGTTAATGTATATTTTATTTGGTTTTATTTTTTATGTTTTTAGTTTTCATTTTACTTAACTATTATAACCTTGGTTTGACTAGATAGATAACATTTTAACCTTTAATTACTTTTTTTTTATGTAAAAGAGCATTGAGACTAGATATCAATGCCAGACTTCATCTCTGAAGGACCTTCATGCTCTCTTTGTCTTACTTTTTGTAAGAAAGAAACAAAATTTGCAACAAAAAAAAAATGCAAATTCCTCTTTAGGCCACTAGGTGGCAGGACTATGACTTTTTCCCCTCTAGTTCTTAGTTTAGTGTCTATCAGTCTTTGCACCTGTGATTTGTATTGTGTTCTTGAGCTGGTGTTTAACACAGTTTGAAGGTGATCCTGTTTTAGTTGATTAGACTAGAGTGATTGTGAGGCATAACACTTTTTAATATGAATGTCTTCATTGTAGTCAGTGTGATTCTCCCACAAGCCTCTGTGCGTGTGTGTGTGTGTGTGTGACGCTCAGGCCTCGTCACGTGAGTCCCGTCTGCCCTGAGCTGCAGTCGCAGGTGTTGAGCTGCTACAGACTGAACCCACAGCAGACGCTGCACTGCTCACAGCTGGCCAAAGACTACATCAACTGCATCAACACCTCCAAGAAGGTACGTGTGGGGTCTGTCTGCTTCTATCAGGGATGCACAATCTTGCAAAATATTATTATTATTATTATTACTGTATATAACATTAAAGGGACAATGCACAGTCGACCAGTCTTTAATTGGTAAAAAAAAAAAAATGCAGATGGCGCAGTATTATTTTTAAAAATGATGTACTATTATAGTGTTTATTAATATTCTGAATTTATTCATTTATTAATATTTTGCTTTATTTCTTTATTTTTGTTTTTAAGTTTGTCATTTTGTGATTTGCTTTTATAATTTGTTTTTTTTTTACATTTTTTCAGATTGCTGAGGCAACATTTCTAAGATTTTTAATATATATATATATATATATATATATATATATTAGATTTTGAATATATTTTATTTCAGATTTATTTTAATCACCAAAAATGCTTTGTATTAGTTGTAGTTTTAGTTA